TTTTTTGTGTTTATCTCCACTAGGGGGTGTATTTCATTTTGTGCACTGAAAATGTCAGAAGAGGAAGGTGGTTACTTAAGGGCAGGTGTGATTCTGTGTTGCTAATGAGATGGGGCAAACAGTTTTTTATTGTGCTTAGTTGAGAGTTAGTGCAGATTTATTTGTTTCTAAATGGAAATGTCAATGTAAATAGATACTGTGAAGGAACTAAATTACTTTATTATTTAAAGTCGTAATGAAGATCTGCATAATCTTGATTGAGCGCACGTAAAACCAAAGCCTTCCAGGAATAACAGCAACAAGTAGCCTAAAATATAGCATTTTAGCCGCTACAATTATTATTACAATTTTATTTTATTTTTTTGCTGATTTTTTATCTTCTTCTCACCAGCTTATGGAGCCCCCGCCCTGGTGGCCCCCACTTTGAAAAGCACTGCTCTAGTCAAGGCCGGCCCTTCGCATAAGCAGACTAAGTGGCTGCTTAGGGCCCCGTGGCCACTAGGGGGCTCCCTAAGTGGAATTGATATTTTATTTTATTTTTTAGTAATGACTGATTTCTATATGATTTTATTACACACAATTTCATAATAAAGTTGTGATTTTTCTTTTAAACAACAATATATGTAACCAGGTGGTTTACTAGTTTCAAAATAGTGTTTATGTAGAAGTATTTGTAAATTCCCACCCATGTTGGGCCCATAAATGCACCTACGCCCCGGGCCATTTCCCCACGAGAGAAGTGAGTCAAAGAGAGGAGCAGCTTGTTCTGCTGGAAGTTACATTTTAAACTCTGATAAAGTTGTTAAATCTGAATGGAAACAACATTACCCTGTCTGAAGTTTATATGGGCTGAGTTTTGATAAGATATTAGTTTCAGTGCGTGAGCGAGGAATCCTTGATAAAACTAGCTTTGTTAGGAAAAGTCAACCACTCAGTAACAAGTCATGCACAATTTGTAACTTGTTAGGATTATTAGGATTATTTACTGAGCCCAACAACTCACATAGCAACAACATTAATCACAAAATGTCATACTGCATAGAGTTAGCCACTGGCCGCAGCCTACAACACTTGACGCAGAGCATGCACGTGAAATCAGAGGCCAAAAAATAAAAAACGAACAGAAATGGTTTAGTGAAAAGGTAGTTATACATTTTATGACGAGGGCCACGCTGTTAAGAAACATTTTTTATACAGAGAGCAGGTGTCTTGAAACAGGACAGCAGATGAGTAACAAAGTGCACAGCTCTGTGCTGTTTATTTCAGTCACCAACACACACGTGTAATGTGTGTGTGCATTAAAACCATCTAGCATTTCATGTCATGGGTATAGCAACTCTGATTTTAGAAGAATATAATGCAACATTCTGTTATAGTTTACACTGTATAGTTTTTATACTGTAAAATTAAAAATACTCAAGTGTTAAATGTTTTCTCTTTTACCTTCAGAAATGCAGTTACACTGTATTCCTGCTGTGCAGCCTACTGGAAGTTCTGGGTCAACTGGTGATGAGATGAGGTATCTGAGAAGACTCAGTGGGATTTATAGCTGAATTGTTGTTTTGTGTAGATGTGAGTTAGATTTTAATTAATAGTAATTGTTCTTACTCAGACTGACATCACCATCAAGAGAGAAGCTGTCCTTAAAGCTCTGATCATCTACCTAGGTGAACATGTGGAGCATCTTTTGAAAGAACACCAGGTGAGAAGATATGATGCCCTACACGAGCAACATCCACAGACCTTTCTTGTGTTTGAAATGCAACATTGCACTGGATATTTTTCCTTCTCCTTGTTATAGACTCCTCTTTTTTTGTCTATTAAATTTGGGCTCAAACTGAAGTGATATCATGCCAGAGTGGGAGAAACAAATATATTTTTTGATGACTCTTTGATCTTTATTGTAGCAACTACATTCATTTTAACTGGGGGAGTGGTGGCGCAGAGGTTTCAAGATGGGCCTGTGATTGGAAAGTCGCAGGTTCAACTGCCAGTACCGTCAACATCAAAATGTGGGTGGAAAGGGTGAAACACCCACACCTGCCTCCACCCTAATTCCCCTCACCCTGGGCCCCTGAGCAAGGCCCTTAACCCCCACCATCTGCTCCCTAAACATTCTCTCTTGAAAATGAGTTCTCGTGACTCATTGAGACTACCTGGATAAATAAAGGCTCAATGAAAAAAGAATGAACTGAGAACTCTTCTTGTTGTAATCTAGCTGGTAAATTGTCCAGAGTTTCAAAAAGTAAAGAGACTGTTAGACTGTTGTGCTTTGGCAGTTCTCTGCACTCTTTTACTATTTTAGTTGTCCTCATTTCTTGATTTTTGGTGTGTTTGCAGGATGTGCCGAAGAATGATCAACTGCATCTGGCACCCATGGCGATCTTTGTCACTGGGAGAGAGGATCCTTTCCATTAACACAAAGACATCAAGATAATCATCGATGGAACACAGGTCCTCAGTGAAGTGTCTTTTGTTGTTACAACAGCTGTTGTCATGTTCTTCAGGCTCATATACTCAACCTAAAATATCCAAAAATCTACAGGACACTCTTGGTGTACGACACACTTGAAAAGCCAAGGGGCTGGACCTTCTCCACCCGTATGTTTGAAAGTTATGGAACTGACAATAATTCCTACTGAAATAATGCTAACTATTATTAAATAACATATTTTCCACTGACCATTCTGAAAAGGAGATATTAGTTGATTTTGTTTGAGGAAGAATATCTAATTGTCCTTTCTCTCCATTTAGGGATATATGTTGTAAAGTTGAGTTATTTGTAATTTCATGGAGTAAGTTCTTTGAGTTTCAGAGTATTTAGTTTGTTTCTCTTCAGCAGGTTTGACAAGGACAAAATGTGCCCATTCCAAAGACTGTTAGCTAATCTGCACACGTGCCCATTCCAAAGACTGTTAGCTAATCTGCACACATATTTTGGTTGTTGTTTTTTCTTTTGTTACTTTTAGTACCACTTGATGTTAAGAGACATGTGGCAGACTCAAGGCCCGTGGGCCAAATCTGGCCCACCATAACCATTTCTGTGGCTCTCTACACCCTAGAGGGCCACAGAGACAGAACTTCAAGATAACAGTTGTGAACTTCAATATCACTTTATCAGTCAAATCAATCAGTTTTTATGTTTATTATGCCAAATTAATCTAATATAAAATATTTAATTTTTAGAAGTAGTCATCAAATGCAGAGAAAGTTATATTTTATCAGTTTGTTAATAGGACATTTTATCAATACTATATTATACAATAGTTTATGTTAGGTGGATGAATGATCTGATCATCTGACTGTTGATTGCAGTAATCCACATTATTAGCAGAAATAAAGGGCCCAAACCAATTTTCGCTTAGGGCCCCATGAAGGCTTGGGCCGGCCCTGGCTCTAGTTAACCCAATTCCACACTATTGTTATAGCGTTGTAGTAAATTAATGACACCAAGTTAAAGTTCACTTTGCCAATCCTGAAAAAAAACCAAAAACATATTTACAGTTCTTTGCTTAGAATATACCATCTGTTTTAATACTTGTTTTTATATACTGGTTTTCTGATCTTGTGTATTTTTGTGGCAGTATTGCATCATCACATACAGGCCTGGCATAGCTACTACAACGGTTTGGGTCATTTGGTGAGTTTATGTGCGGATCAAAATATTTCTGGAAACTTTACTGCTGCTAACAAGAGTAATATTAGAAACAATAAATGAAATGTCATTTTGGAAAGTGTCTCAGTGTACAAGACCTTAGGTAACGATGCTTTTATCTCTTGGAAAACTGACAGTAAATACATTATGTTATTAGTCATTTTTCAATTTAATTTCAAAATCCTATCTAGACCACAAAGTTAATGCTTCATGACCAACAGTAGGGTTACACCCCTAAATTTGTGAAGCACTGGCCTAAAGTAGGGCATTAACAGAGTACTCGAGTAATCTACACATCGATTGCTAGGACCTCTATCGAGGTTAAAAATGTAACGTCGAGTATCCGTAGTGACGTCATATTATGTGACCACCGTATGACCGTAGGGGCGGTGTTGTACTGTTGCAGGTCACAGAGTTTAGTGTAACACCGGGTCTAATCCACCGTCCATCCACTGTTTTAAGTTTCGTTTCTGACGTGCTGCATGTTTCTTCACGTTTGTAGTTTAATAATAATAACTAATAGTTTAGTTTTTCCTGTGACTTATTTGCAGTATGATAAATGGTAGGAGCATAATATACGCTCCCAATGTTTTGTTGGTCATTTTTTTGTAAATAATTACCTTTTATTTCGGTTTTATTTATTTATTTATTTTTGTATTTTGAGATCTATGATGTCATCAAATACTCGAGTTCTGCTCGGGTTTTATTATGTTAATGTCGAGTTTAAAATTTATATACTTGTTCAACCCCTAAAGGGTTTTTTAAAAGGCCTAAAGCCTTTTAAAATATTCTGATTTCAGAAAAAAAAAAACACAACTTCACTAAGTACTTTCTCTCCAGACTCAGAGATCCATATTTTTTGTTAAAGTCAATGTTGTAAAATAGACACAAAATATGAGTTGCTAAAAACACACAAGAAAAAAAATTCAGCAACAACAGAACACGTTGATCTAAACAGGCTCTTGGTTATTGATTCTTCAGAGGAAGCTAATCAGCTGTAGATTAGTAAAGAGCATGAGCTTTGGTAACTGATGCTGTTCATCTGCACAACTTTTGTTTAGCTCCACCTGATGGGACCAGACTAAGGAATGTCACTGAGATACAGGCGTTCATTTCTAGGCATGTTTTACTGCTAAACTTCTGATAAAAGGATTAAAGACCCAATACTTTCTTTTCTTGTTCCTTTATGGTAAATTATGCATGTTCATAACTATACGCAACACTCTACAAACACATGTTGTAGTTCACTGGGGGGAATCCTGCACAGTTCCTTTATTGCATGTCATTGTTCATATCATTTATGCTGTAAAACATTGGTTTAAAAAATGGAACATGAAATACTCACCAGCTCATTGGCAAGTCTTAACTTGGAGTCCAGTGTGACAACTCTGAAATGCACTGATGATTACAAAAAAACAAAAACAACACTATTGACATGCTGAACTTAGGACTTTTCAGTAAACAAATGATTAGAAGTAAACCATTTAAATTAGAAGCTCTGGTCTACAAGTACTGTTAACGGTTCGTTGCAGAAGAAGCCACAGCTCATAGTTACCCGTCTGTCCAGGGAGGTAGATGGGTTTATCCGTTTGGATAAAAGTTTTTGGTTGATAGGCTTTGATCATGACTTTTCTGGCTTCTTTTGAGTGAAATGTGTTTCCTCGTACCTCCACCTCAAATGTCTGCACCTCTTCATTTGTTACTAAAGGAACCTGTGACAGAAAGAACTTTAAAACTTTTCAGATCGCCATTACAGCTGATCACAAAATGTCTGTTTTCTCAGTCTTACAGAATATTTGAATATTACATTTTAAATGTATTTCTTGACATAACAGATGCAAGACCATTGTGAGTGTTAACCTGAAACTGAATGCAGTCATGAAACTCTGTGCTGGAGGTCTTCTCATACAGAGTTGTGTTCTTGTCTTGGGACCTCAAAGTGACAGTCATAGCCAACATTTCATTGGGCTCCAAGAGGTTCACACAGAATTTAGTCTCAGCTCCAGCCTCAAGAACTGCAGGTATGGTCACCATGTAATGTCTACAGGGAAAAAACTCACACGAGTTACGTCACTCGCCTGATTTGACATTGAAACACAAATCTGTGTTCAATTTACACACTTGTTTAAAACATAAACTGTAAATATTCTCTTGTATTAATACTTTTATTAATATTTGATTTAAAACTTACGGTACTGTAGCTGGTTGAGCAACAGATATCCCACACCAAAGGACACAAAGGATCCATGTCCACATCTGACTCGCAGGGCGACCCATGACTGACTGCAATGATCTGCAAAGTAAACATCTGTTATATAGACTGCAGACAGCAGGAGCACC